CGCTTATGCTAATGAAGCCCGGGAAATTCAAATCCCGGGCTTCATTAGCAAGTGCGGTATGCATACATTACCCCGCTAGTTCGAACTAGCGGGGTAGTGTAGACATACCCCTAGAAAGTATATGGAGCGTTGGCTTTTAATTAGTTTTGTTAATAGGTGGGGGGCAGGTTGTCAATAATAGACAGTTTTGACTGAAGCTTGTAACTATGGGTATGTCTACACTACCCCGCTAGTTCGAACTAGCGGGGTAGTGTAGACATACCCCTAGAAAGTATATGGAGCGTTGGCTTTTAATTAGTTTTGTTAATAGGTGGGGGGCAGGTTGTCAATAATAGACAGTTTTGACTGAAGCTTGTAGTTACAAAGGAATTTTGATTTAAAGAGAATGACATAAATCATGCTTCTTCCAAGTAGTCTCCCAAGTAATCTGTTTGGATTTGTACCATCAGTGGCAGAGAAACAAACTTTTTTGAAAAAAAAATCTCATTCACTGTTTTATTTTTTCTTAATATCCATTATAGTTAGGGCCCACCAAACTCACATGCCATTTTAGTCAATTTGATTTCACATATTTACATCTGAAATTTCATGGTGGTGTAATTGTAGGGGTCCTGACCCAAAAAGTAGTGGTGGAAGTTGCAGTATTGCTACCCTTAATTCTGCGCAGCTGCTAGCATTGGCACTGCCTTCAGAGTTGAGAAGCTGGAGAGGGGAGACTGCTGGCTAGGAGCCCAGCTCTGAAAGTAGAGCCACTGCCAGCAGTGGGGCAGAGGGATGGCGTAGTATTATAGTACTACCTTCACCTCTGTGCTGTCCTGCAGAGTTGGGCCCTTAGCCACTGCCACTGTCCAGCTGCCCAGCTCTGAAATTAGTGCAGTATTAATGATGACCTGGTATGGCATTGCTGCTGGTAGGGTGCTGCTTTCAGAGCTGGGCACCCGACCGACATTACAACCACTGGTCTCTACGTGCCCAACTTTGAAGGCAGCAGTGCAGAAGTAAGGGTGACCTAGAATAACCTTATTTCCCCCTGCAACTCCCTGTAGGGTCAGGACCCCCAGTCTGGGAAATGCTAGTCGTCTCTGTGAAATTTGAACAGTATAGGGTAAAAGTACATAAGGCCAGATTTCACAATCTGTAATGCATTTTGTATGGCTGTGAATTTGGCCCTTATTATAGTAATCTGTGAGCCTCCCCTCCCAGTACATTTTTATCAAACGATTTTGCTTAGTTTTTTGTTCCATCTACAGATCATACTACTTTAATCTTGCATTCGCTAGTATAAATATATAGCGCTGTCTTTAAAAAAAAAAAAAATTAAACTATCCCTCGTGAGAGGATAAGAGAACAAACCACACGTGACAGATGTTACATATGTTCACTTAGTACAATACTGGAAGGTTGTTCAGATTCCTCAGTGGTGATGGCTGTGTAAAAAGTTGTATGAAGTAGAATATAACCGTTTACTGTAGTTGCCTTTTTAAAAAGTCAATCTTTTATAAAAGGGGGGGAAGCGCTACACACACACACACACACACACACACACACACACACACTTTTACAACTTTAATCTTTAAACATGCCTAGTGATGTAGAAATTACTGAAGTATTTTACATTCCATGGATACATTACTGAAATCTGTTTATCCATGGAAAGTTAATTTGAGAGAGGCTGAATAATCATCATTAGAAATTAGTTTCATAAATACTAATTTCTTTTTGGAGTAGCAGTAGGACAAATAAAATTTAGCATTAAGATTTCATCACTAGGTTGTTGTGACTTTTTTTTTCTTTGCTTCTAAAGGTTTCCTCTTCAAGACCTGAAGAAAATAAAATCCGTCAGGAAGATCTGTCTAAAATCATAAGCAGTGCTCAGAAGGTGCAAATTAAACATGAGACCATTGAATCCAGGCTGTCTGCATTAAAGAGGTAAATATTACTTAGGATTCATAAATAGCACTGAGGGCAATGAATTTGATCAGTTTGAAGCTGCAAATATAGTGAGAAATACATTGGTGCTTAAAATTGGCCAATACCAGATACTATAGAGGAAATGTATAGAAAGAATGAACGGAATCATATATTGCAGAGTCCCCCAAGCTCTAGCTTTGGAACATCCAGAACAATGGGATTGTTTCCCAGATCATCTTGGGTGCAGTAATGCCTGTCAGACGTCTTCCCTGAACTTTTTTTAATTCTCTTTTTGAACCCATTTCTACTTTTGGCCTTCATAAGTTCAATGGATTGACTGTGCACTGTGTGAAGATCTTACATTTTATTTTAAACCTGTCAGCTACTGATGTCATTGACACCTGTCTAGAGTGGCTCATCGCTGTGAGAGTCCTGTTTTGAGACTGTCAGACAACAATAGCAGGCATTCTGAACTGGTAGTATGCTCTAAAATTAGTCTTCACAAGCTGGTAACATGTGCCCCGTGGATCAATATATTTGTCTTACAGTGGAGTCAGACAGCCCCCTCAGTTCTCCATCCAGATAAACAGGATTTATCACACCACACCAGGTTATTCCCAGTTGCAAAGGGTTAATACTTCCTCCCAAATAAATTAGTATTCCATATCTTACACCAAGTACAATGCTGGTAGCCAATTCTTTGGTGAACTATAGGTATATTGGGTAAGAAGAAATGAGTTATTGAGAGGTTAAAGTGGGTAAGACATAGTAACAGGTGAGTCAGAGTTCATAAATCTAGAAAGCTAGCATAGATGTAATAGTTTGCCAGTTTCGCAAAAGTCTTTTTTAGAGATGCCCAGAATAAACTTGGGGATCTCTATTCTCCTGTTTAGTTACTGTACCCTTTAGAATTCAAATAGCCCAGAGATTAATTATTACTTGAAATCTACCTTATAGCTGCTGCTTACAGATACAGGCAGTCCCTGGGTTACATACAAGATAGGGACTGTAGGTTTGTTCTTAAGTTGAATACGTATGTAAGTCGGAACTGGTGTCAGCCGCTGCTGAAACTGATCAGTTTCAACCGCGGCTGAATCTGGATGCCAGTTCTGACTTACATACAGATTCAACTTAAGAAACCCAGGCGTCCCCAAGTCAGCCGCTGCTGAAACTGATCAGCGGCTGATTCCAGGAAGCCTGGGGCAGAACAACTCTGCCTCGGGCTTCCTGTAGTCAGCTGCTGGTCAGTTGGTGTCAGCCGCTGCTGAAACTGATCAGTTTCAACCGCGGCTGAATCTGGATGCCAGTTCTGACTTACATACAGATTCAACTTAAGAAACCCAGGCGTCCCCAAGTCAGCCGCTGCTGAAACTGATCAGCGGCTGATTCCAGGAAGCCTGGGGCAGAACAACTCTGCCTCGGGCTTCCTGTAGTCAGCTGCTGGTCAGTTTCAGCAGCGGCTGAATCTGGACGCCAGTTCCGACTTACATACAGATTCAACT